CGTAGAGCAGAAATAGACCCAATTCATAAATTAACACCAAAGTTTTGTCCAAAGCTAAGGGAAATAGTTTTACACGGGGTAGAGGTTGCAGACTTTGATACTTGGTTTGGCGAGCATAAGGATTTAGAAGTCGATCAGTGCGATAAAGATGAAACTTTGTCTGAAGCGTCAAGAAAGATTTTTCAGGATTTGGAAATTCTTGATTTAATAGATACCACAGGGTTTTTTAATAGCCATTTTAACATGTTGACCAAATATTGTTTAAAAATTCGAAAGGTTAGGATGTTACGAACTAGTGTTGTTTACTCTCAGGTTAACATTAATAACGGAATGATCTCAAAAAATGATTCTGGCTGGGTCGATCTTAAATAAATTTACATATGTTGCTTGTACTGTATAATATTATTATAATTATCACTTGGGTTATTATTTGGATGTCTGTAAAATGTCGCATAACACCAAATCAGCTCCTTTAAATGTCATGAGTGATCTGTGATTTAACTATTGTCACAAATATTATGATAGGAAGGTGTAAGGGATTCTGCATTGCCACTTGATGAAGTCGTCTAGTATTTTGTACTAGGTACATGATTTTTATTTCAAAAACTGCAATGCTTTATATCAGTAACTATTTTCTCATAACAGTTAGGCTCGTTTAACTAGCATGGTTAAAAATCCAGTGCGATAAATAATATGAATCAATTTTTTTTATGCATGTTCAAAATGATTGGTTGGTAAAACGTTCCGAAATAAAATTTTGTATATTCAGCAAGGTAGTGTTATGAATTGGAACAAAAAATATAATCGATTAGTTGGTTGAATATTTTTTAAAAAATCGATTAAAAATCAATTATTGTTAACTAATCGATTAATCGATTAGTTGATTAGTTGTCTAAGGTTGATTAATATATTTTAACATCATTTCTTTAAACTAATTTAATAACAATAGAGAATATAAATCTAATAAAAAAACTAATTAATATAGAAACAACTAATCGATTAATAGTTAACAGTTAATCGATTAGTTGGTTAATTGATTAATAGTTAGGTCAAAATTATTAATCGATTAGTTGCCAACTCGGACAACTAAATGATTAATCGATTTTCGATTCATATCACTACAGCAAGGCCTTATTGCCAAATAGGCAATTTTCTACTAGTGACAACGCCAAAGGGTAAACCGCACAAAATAGTATCATGTGTAGTTTATAGCAAGGACGACCCCAAAGAAAAGTTTCGTACTTAATGCCAGATTCTTTGCCTAAAACTACGCGCAGGGACGATATATTTTCACAATAATTTCACCAAATTCATAATTTTTCTCGACCTTATAAATGATTGGATGGCAGCGGTCTATTCCTATGAAAGAACCTAAATTTTGTGTAAATTACGAAAAATTCCGAAGGTTTACTAAAATTTCCACAAAATTTCACAAAAAAGCCAAATAAGCTCAAATAGGTCCACAAAATTTACTTTATTCCGCCACAAAATTTTTGTTACATCACAAAAAATCATCGTCCCTGGTCCAACGCCATCAAATTCAAACTAGCTGTACTATAAACATTACGTTAATCTGATAGCATTAGATAGAACTTCAAACCAAATAACTATAACCTTTGAAAATTATACCAAAACGGCATAGGCCGTTCCCGAAGATGAAAAAAAGGCATTCGGATAGTATTTAAAATCTGCTAAAGGAATGTGGAAATTGCTACTGAGATGGAATAGGCATCTAAGGATGAAAGAAGGTATTTGAATGGTATTTGAAATAAAATAAAAAAGCCATTGCGGGCGTAGCTATCATGGGTGTTTTAAAAATTTTAGGATATTATTGTCATTATTGTTTAGAATATATTTCTAATTCAATTGAGGAATTAAGGTTATGAATCTGATGAATCAGAAAATGTTAAACCTATGAAAGAATGTGTATTGATGAAAAATTAAAGATTTGGGGTAAATATTCTTATAATAAATACTAATGATATCATTATAACTTCGATATAATTTTAATTAATTTATTAAAGATCGATCTTACTCAATTTAAAAACTTTGATCCAATCGAAAATTCGAACTTATGCAAGAAATTGTAATTTGCGGTAGAAAGAAAATTACTTAATTTACACGTGTTTGTACACGGGTTGTACACGGGTATTAATTTTTAAATTAAATTAAAACAATTTTTATAAAAATAAAATCCGATGAAGATTAAGGTTAGGGCGAGGCCTGGAATTTTAGCAAGGTATATAGTATATACCAAAATTTGGCAAGGAATTTTTTTTATTAGAACCTCAAAGGTAGTTTCTTAGGCAAAATTTTGAGATATTTATCATACGTGTGTATACATATACACTCGTGTAGCTAATAGTAATTGCCTTTTAAAAATTGATCTGCACCCCTATACGTCAAATACAACACAAAATTTCCAATCATTGGATTTTTAACCATGCTCGTTTAACTACCGTTTAATTTCACACGCACAAACTATTTTATTTTTAGTTATATGTTTTTATAAAAGGTCAATTCTGCAGTTACAATAATTACAATGTAATGTACGTCTGAGAAAATTTCAATTTTCCCACACATATTTGTTACAAATTACCTTATGCGTATAGAACCCGAGAATTTATCCGAAAATCACGGTAAATATATTTAACCCAAAATACCTTTATTTTTCAACCTCGCTTATTTCTGTATTATTGTTATTATACTAGATATAAAGTAAGACTTTGTTCTATTCTGCCTACCGCGGCTTAACGGTTTGCTTGATTGTTTTTTTAAATCATGTTTTTTTGAAAACAATTATGTTGACATTATTTTATTAACATTTTGTAAGAAAAAGAATGTTTTCAAGAAGACTCTTTTCAACTTTACGATTGGGTTCCACTTTTACCAATCGTTCTTTTCTATCCACTAATGTTCCTTCACTTATACAATTCTCTCCAATTGTTGTCCCAATTTCAAAGCAAGTTTTTAACAGTCGTTCAATTTATTCAAATTCAACATTAAATAATGCTGCTCCAACAGTTTACGAAGTCGATAAAGATTATTGGTCCTTAAAAACTACAATTGATGATATTCGAGCAAAATATGGATTGGGAGGTGGCACTAGAATCAAAGACCCAAATCTTGACCAAAATTCGGATTTGGATTTGGAAATTGATTTGACTGTTGCTGATATCAAAAAAATTGTAAAAATCCAACAATTATTGGAAAAGGCTGCGCAAGATTTGTCATATTTGGTTTCTGCTTCGCCTCCGGAAATATTTAGTGATCACGATAGTTTCAAAGATGATGATGTCGCCATTAAAGCTAATGCCAAAAAAGTTTTGTGGTTAGTTGAGGATGATGATGTTTCTGGTAATGCTAAAGAAGCAATTAGAAGTTATAAAGAAAATAGAGTTGCCGGTGACGTTACCATGAATGCTTATACTTTAGAAGATGGTAAAGATGAAAACCCTCCCGTTGGATTTCGACAAGATTTATATCAATAATCCTTGATAGTAAGCGTTATTATTTTATATTGTTAGTTAATATTAAAATGTACATTATTAATTGTTCTTCTGTTTTGGGGATGACCCTTTATTTCATTAGTCAAAGACATTAGATGATTAAATAGTCAAAACTTATATCTTCCCAAATTCATAGTATATTTTGCTGAGAGAACGATTCAAAGATAATGTCTCTCTTTTTTTTTTTTTTTTTTTTTTTTTTTTTTTTGTAAATAGCTTTTTTTATGTTTTAGCATATTTTTTATGGAAGGGATAAATGTTTTCCTATGAATATTTTCACTTGTTATAATTGCTCTGTAAACAATTTTTCATTTTTTTTGAGCAGTTTTAATAAATAAGCTTCGGATACATGTACTTTATGCAGTTTATATGCGATTGTACTAATAAAATGCAAAAATACGTTTGATTTATTTAGCGATATCTTCTTTAACGCAATAATTTTAGTCATTTAATTCATATTATATCGAAACTAAATAAAATAACGCATATTCTGAACTCGCTAAATATGCAGATCCAGAATATGACTATCTTCGTTATTGTATGCGATGATGTTATCGACTTAAGCGAAAAACTTGATGTTTTTTCGCTGGCGTTTTGCTATACCTTAAACCGTCCAGTTTAACAAGCAAATTTGCCTGCTAAAGTTTTATAAATTTATATTTGATCTAGTTTTATAAAAATTAAAAATTTTATGTAAATATTAATTAAAGTATTAATAAAACTTTGAGGGCTAAATTTATCCATACTCCTCTTATGAAATTGCAATTTTTTCAACTTTGAATAAAGATATAAAAATTTTTTTATTCAATTTTACAGATCTGTAGAATTCAAACAAAAAAAAAAATTCATCGAATTTGGTTCAGTAGTTATCAAACGTCTATTAAAATTGAAGTATCTAAAGTTTTAAAACTTTAAACAAATATATTATGACTTCTACCTAATCAAATTCAATGATTTTTTTTATTTTAATTCTACAATTTTGTAGAATTCAAACAAAAAAATTTTCATCAAAATTAATCAAGTAGATATTGAGATATCTTTACTCAAAGTTAGTAAATAATGCAAAATATTTATTAAAATTAATGTTATTGTCACATCTATAATTTTCTATTTCTTTATTTTTCTTTTATTTTATTTTTAGTTTTATTATTTGATTTAGCTTTATATAGTATATTTGTTATAGTTTTTATTTCTTTTGTTTAGTTTTTGTATTTGTTACTCATACAGAATGCTGATAGTAGTATAGATGAATTTTATTATTTGTTTATATTTTTTTTTTTTTTTTTTTTTCAGCAATCATGCTAATACTTTATTAAATTAATAATTTTTTTTTTTTTTTTT